CAACGTTGAAATATGAAAATTACAAACTTCCTAAACAATCATTTGGTATTTCATGTATTTCTTTTCAAATTGTAAAAATATTTATACCTTCCGTTGAAGCCGTGACTTATGACTGCGGCATACTGCGTGACCATATTGATCGAATCTCATATATGATTAATGGTTATCAGTTATATTTGTTACAATGATTAAGTAGAGTTATTTAGTTATTTTATTTATCATATTTATTAATTATGTTATATTATTAGTAAATTTACTTGTAATAAATATCCTGTACTTTTCTTGAGTTGAAAGATAGAGTTTTGAGGTAAAACCAAGAGTTCAATAAAGGAATATTATCAATTAATTTGCTATTACCTTTTTCCGTTTCTTCAAATGGCATGATTGTGATAAAGTATTGTATTTAATTCGACGTATTGAATTATTTACTTTTACAGCTCACAGTCTTTATTAATATTGTGTAACAATTAATTATTATGGCGCAGTAGACCATTTTGAAAATTGTCACGAAATGGCCGGCATCACGGCATTTTGGCTGGTGGCGCACATTTGACGTATAGTAGGTGACAAATAGATTTTTTAATTACTGAAAATTCTCTCCCCATAATACTTAGTAAAAATGAAACGCGGAACCGGTGACAAAATATATCACGTGAAATTTTGTGAAGGTACGCAGGGGAAATCACCATTAATAAAATTCCCCCTAGTTTAGAATTACGACAATTTATTTAAGCATACAGTAATGTTTAACTAATTTCGGGATGATTTCCTGATGATCATTTAACAGGTTATTTAGAAAAGGAAAATCCAAATGAAGATCCCAAAAACAAATAGCAATGCTTTTTTCTGATTTGTTTTTCCCCCTTTTTCTCTTACTACTTCAAATATTTTTTTTTCTTCTTTTTCTTCTTATTATGGACACATTTTTATTAACGCTTTCAAACGACTTCAATAAAATTTTAGAGAATGAACTTTGCTATGATTTAATCATTACTATAGGCAAAGAACCTGTTATCGATACTTTTAGGGTTCATTCTGCAATATTATGCGCGAGGTGTCCTTACTTTCAAGTGGCTTTATCAAATAATTGGATAAAGAAAGATGATGATAAATTCACTTTTGCCAAACCAAATATCTTTCCAAAGACATTTGAAGTGATATTAAGGTAAGAAAAGATAGATGAATGTATTATTTTCAAGCGTACTTTCGAAACTTTAGATATATTCAAATATTTTTATTTATTTATTTTTTTTTTTTTATTCCCTAGATATTTGTATGGTGGAACGATTAATTTAGATAGACAAGGATCTTCAGATTTAATCCTTCTTCTTGAAGCCTCAGATGAATTGTGCTTAAATGAATTGTGTGAATATATTCAAGATTGTATTATTACAAAACGTATATTTTGGTTACGAGAAAATTTTTCTTCCCTCGCAAAAACAGTTTATCAGCATCCAACTTTTGCGAAATTGCAAAAGGTTTTTACGGAAATGATTTATGAAGACCCTAAACGATTATTCAAATTGGAATCTTTACCCGAGTTGCCCGAGGATACCCTTTTATTTTTGTTAAATTGCGATGATTTCTTTTTGAAAGAGGTTAATATATGGCAACAAATTATTAAGTGGGGAATTTTACAAAATCCTCATTTGGATCTGGATGTTTCAAAATGGACCAGAGAAGATTTTGATATATTAAAAGATCGATTACGAAAAATCATTCCTTTAATCAGGTTTTATCAAATGTCGTTAAAAGAATTTTAGGATAACGTGGTACCTTTTAGAGCAATTTTACCAGGTAAAGTTGGAAGAAATTAGTCTAATTTCCAAAAAAAAAAAAAAATTCTTTTTAATTTGAACCATTATGTTTATTAGATGATCTTTATAAGAACGTATTAAAATATCATTCAAGATGGTTTAAATTTTACCCTCGAGCTCCTGCAAGAGTGAAACCAATTGATTCGACAATTGTAACCTATAAAGATGCCGCTATTTTGGCAAGTTGGATTGATGGTAAAGATAAAGTTAATAAGGGCACTAAGCCCATGATGTACGAATACCATGATAACCCTTATAACTTTAAGCTTCTCTATCGTGGAAGTCGTGATGGATTCACTTATGGAGCTTTAAAAAAACATTGTTATTATAAGGGTCCAACAATAGTTGTGGCGAAAATTAAAGGAAAGCAAGAATTAATCGGTGGTTATAACCCAATGTATTGGACAACATCAGAATTACCGTATTCTTCTTCTAGAACAAAAAATGGATTTATATTTTCCGCAAAGAGGAATGATGACAATTTTCAAGAGGAAGCAACGGTGGCAAGGATCAAATATGATTATTCACATTTTACAGCTTATAGAGGTTATCCTTACCTGAGTTTTGGGTTTAATAATTTATCATTTCACGGGAGAGAATGTCATGTTAGATTTTCTCAATCTTTATGTTTCTTTCCTCGAATTAAGGTACCAGATAATTACCTTTTAGATGAATTCGAAGTCTTTGCCGTCATTCCAAAATCAAGTTTTAGATACTGGAAGAATAATTTAATATTTTATAGTTCATATATTTGTGACATAAGATTTTATAAGAGATGTTTTATTTTACTTGTAAAATTATTACTTTTATTTTTTTTATTATTTGTGTCATTAGGTTTCTTGATCAATTCCTGGAACCCTATAAAAACAGAGAATGATTCTAATGTATAATAACAATATATATACCAATAAAAGAATTTAGGGCGGTGACTTTTCAATAATTATCCATTTGTTATTGAAATAAAAAGGGTGAAGCTTTTCCATAACTTTCATTTCTTTACTATTAAATTCAAATCGTTAAGTTTACAATAATCAGACATTATAATATAAATGTATTGATTTAAAATTGACGATCATGTTTAGGTTTAAAAAGTATAATTTAAAACAAGGAAGTAAAATGGAAAATTATTTTATTACTGCTATAGAAGTCTTCAGATTGGTGTTCAGATAGAACACGAAATAAACTTATATAGGTAAGTTAGAATCAGCAATTCAATTTCAATAACAAATACTTCTAGATTCGGCTTAGCAAGAAACAATTTGTTTTATCAATTAGATACGATAACAAATAAGAAAATTCATTTTAAATCCATAAACCTTGACCTATCTTAGATTTTAGGTTCACTGAATAGAATTCTATTTCATTCTAAAATATTAAAGCTTTCCGGCTTTCTTATACCGATAAAATATCTTTGTTTGCTCAGACGCCTTGTTCATATAAATATGCAAGACTTTTTTGTGCATCACAGTTACCTTCATTAGCTGCTATTTTATATAATTTAAAAGCCTTTTCTTTATCAACGTCAATTACAATTCCATTATCATAATAATATCCTACTTTATATTGAGCTTCGATGC